TAGTTCAATATTTATAGATTAAATAGTGTATTATGGTAGGCACCTAAAAAGTTTAGAGTTTTGTTTTAATAATAAAAATAACTAAGTTCTACATTCCGCAGTAAAGAGTACGAAACCATTAACAGTACGTTTTAATTCATCGGTGGGTATTACGAATGTTATTTTACTTTGCAATTAGAAATTAGGCACTAAAACAACTTGTATTTCTGGATTTGTAATAGCGCCATACTTTTAGGGGCTAAAAAACATGTATACAATGATTACAAGTTTTACAAATTAAGGTTAGACTGGAAATCAAAAGAAGGTTACGTTTTCAATTCCAATTGGACGTTTATTGAAGGTTCTGTATCTTATCAAATCCATCTTTAGGTATAACAATTTGTAAAACTTTTTGCTCTTTAATCCACTACAATAAAATAAGTACGAAAATTACCAGTGTCTATAAATTTTTTGGTCGATAGTATTTACTATAAATATTAGTTTTTCTCCAGTAAGAAATACTGAGGGTACCGAAATTGATTCAAAGTCAAATAACTCATTAGTTTCTAATTATGTCTTGTATTAATTGATACTAGTTACATCTAAATAATGTTCTCATCGATAAGTAATTGATAAATAATCGATTGAATAACGGAACGCCAAAAATACAGACCCGAAGGTACAAAATTTTGTGAAAGTTTTTATTAAATTATCGTATACACCAATAAAACGCTTGACAAAAAGAAAGAATTAATCCAAAAAGTTCATTCAGTTGACACATCCCTCACACATTGCTATGTCAAATGCTAAGTCACGGTTGTTTAACGTTAGCGTTCCATTGTTTACGTTCAATTAATTATCAGTTACACATCAAAGAGAGCATTGGTTTTCGATCGGTTTTATATCATATCAATTGATGGGAGATATGATTTTAAGCCAATATTTGACTTTGAAATCTCGCATTTATTGCAAATTTTGACGATGGTTTTGGTTACGATATATATTATCTTTATTTAAAGTTATTACCGTTTTTCATCTGCAAAAGTTTGGTAAAATCCTATTATCTAAACTAATTTTTTCAATAATAGCGAGTATAAACTAGGAGAGAAAAAATTAGAAGAAATAACTGATTTTTGGTATTTAGGAAGTAAAATAAGTCAAGACGGACGTTGTAGCAGAGATATAAAGCAGAGGATAGCGCAGGGTCGAGTTGCCTTCAATAAAAAGAAGTCACTTCTATTCTAAAGATGTATGTTTGGAGCGTGGCATTGTACGGGTGCGAAAAATTTAGAAGATTAAAAGTGTTCGAAATTTGGTGTTAGAGGCGAATGATGACGATACCGTGGATAGAGAAAATTAGAAATGAAGAGGTATTAGACAGGATAGGTGAACAGAGGATTCTATCGAATTCAATAAGAAATAGGCGAGATAGGTTGGTAGGACACCTTCTCAGGCATGAAGGGCTAGTTAGAGACATATTAGAGGAGTTAAGAGGAGTAGAGGTAGACCTAGATTAGATTACTGTTCTCAAATAGTTAAGGATGTAGGATGTTTTAATTTTAGGGAAATGCGAAAATTAGCTCAGGATAGGAAGGAGTGGAGGTACGTGTCCAACCAATCTTAGGATGATGACTTTAAGCTTTATTATGCCATTGATTGCTTTAAACGCGTATGTGGAACATATTTTCACCAACAATATCTCTTCCATTGAGAAACTTTCGATGGTAGAAGTCCATTTTTACACCATCACCACCAGCCAACACCCATCGCGTATAGAATTGTTATGCAAATTCTTCCGATACATTTTAAAAACGGAATTCGATATACGTATATAGGTGTATGTCGTAAAATGTGTTTATCGATTAATATGCGTCGCTAAATCCGGTGAAACCGACCACGAGCAAGTGTTTTCTTGTTGACACGAGCGCAGTATCTTTATATGGTAAACACGTGCGAAAGACTTTCACTATAACATCGCCGAAAATTAGAAACGTTCTTAACGATTATTCGAGCGGCTTATTTGCAAGATAAAATGGTGATAAGCGGCAGTATTTGAATGTTTATTACCTTCAACTCTTTAGTTAATGGGCGATGCAGTTTTTTTGCGAAAGTTGGTGTCACCAAATTCTCTGCTTGACTACTTTCTACATAAATATGTCAAAATCATTTCTAATTAGTTCAATATTTATAGTAGCAAATTTATGAATAATGTAAGTCTACATAAAATATTTTTCACTTTAGATAAGTCAGGACGGAAGAAGTAGTAGGGATATAAAGCAGAGAATAGCGCTCGCGAACGATTAATTTAGAAATTCGAAAAAAGTTGTTAAAGGTGTATGTTTGGTGCTCGGCGCTGCACGGGTGCGAAACATGGACAGTGGGCGGAAATGAAAATGTTAGAAGCGTTCGAAATGAAGAAGTATTAGAAAGAATAGGAGAACAAAGGACTATATGGAAGTCAATAAAAAATAGGCAAGATAGGTTGGTAGGACACCTTCTCAGGCATGAAGGTCTAGTCAGAGACATATTAGAGACAGAAACAGGAGTTAGGAGATGTAGAGGTAGACCTAGGTTAGATTACTGTTTGCAAATAGTTAAGGATGTGGGTTGTTCTAGTTAGGACGGAGCGGCATGGCCTAGAGGTTTAGACCATTGCTTAGCATTCGGGAGGACGCCGGTTCGATTCCGGGTCCGTCTGCTTTAGTTCAAGTTTTTCTGTGGTTTCCTTGGATCACTTAGGCAAATGCTGAGGCAATAATATTCCACAGATAATCTTTCATTCTCTTCTGTCTTCATTTCGTCCGTCTCATCTTTCTCACCTGATCCACCACCCACCCATTCCCACGATTCCTGAACGCAGACTGAAGAGAGCCTTCCGCCCTACCTTCCGGTATAGTCCGGAGGGACTGCCCGTCCACCAGCATTACTGGCTGGTGGGAATGAAACACCCAAAAGTTTTTTTTTCTAGTTAGGGAAATGCGAAGATTAAGTCAGGATAGAAAAGAGTGGAGATACGTGTCCAACTAGTCTTAGGATGATGACTTTAAGCTTTATTATGCCATTGATTGGTTTATTCATTTTTTAATCAATTGAGAAGCAAACAGTTTGCCTCTTTTGGAGGTTTCCACACTTGCCTCCTGGGATAGCATATATTCCCCCTCTCTTCTCCCCTTCTGGGATAACATGTCTCCCCCTTCTCTTCTTCCCCCAGCAGGTAATGGCAAATCACACTCTAGCTTAAAATTGTCTCATTCAATTTTGTAAATTTTGTCCATTTTTTTCATGGTTTTACTCAACTGTGTCTCCTATTCATTTCTTATAGTATGAGAAACTTTCTTAAGCGGCGCTAAAGTGTACCATGACCTTTTCTGGAAAAGAATAGAAGAAAAAAACTTATTTAGTGTGATTTCTTTGTTACAGAAAAGCCCTCTTCAGTATACGAAACGATGGACGAGAAAAAACATACCCGAGTGGGTGGCACGAAAGTTTCACAAATCGCGAACATCTTCCAAGGCGGTAAGATAGCGAGTAAGGAGGACATTCTATTTCCGCTTAGGAGTAAATCCAAGGGCGACGAACATGGCGTCTCTGACAAAAAAGACATGGACGCGCCAACGGTGACTGTGATTCGAACGGAATCACACGTGACACGGTTTAATAACGCTCGCGCTCTATTCGAAAAGCTCGGGGAAGAGAATAAATGCAACAACAAAGAACGAGTATTTCCGTTGCAGTCGACGAAAAGTGCAAGCAGCATATTGGACTCGAGGTCTCGAAGTAGTTCCGCGAACAGCGAAACCCGCGGAAGCGACTATAAGTCTCGGTCGCCGTCTCCAAAAAGTTTCGACACCAATTTGAACAGTTTCAGTAGCAGCGTGCCGGTATTGAACGACGCGAATCTAAACGAGACTAAAACGAACGGCCATGCGATCAACGGTGGCTTCGAACGAACCAAAAACGTCGACGATATCGACAGGACTAAACCGAAAAAGCCTGAAAAACCGGAACGAAAGTTTAACAGTCGCGAACTGATCGAAAAACAACGGAACTGGACTTCGCATTTCACGAAAACCCGTGCCGCAAGTCGATACGGTAGTGACGCGAATCGGGTAAGTGCTAATAATGGTCAATCGGCTGCCGCAACTCGAAGCGCGTCGTTTAATAATCGATCTCGCGAATCTTCGATAACGAACACGTCACCTCCCTCTTCCGATAACGCGGAAGTGAACCGGAGGTCGAATTTCGTGCGCAAAAACCGACCCGCTTCAGTCATACCAACCACCAGTCCAATCGCCAATGAAATTCCTAACACCAATAGCAAAGAACCCGTCACTCCGCCGCCGAAAGACTATCCTAAAGCACCCACAGTTGGTCCCGGAAACGTAAACGAATCGAAAGGTCCTACTTCTAATAAATACATAAAGTCAGACCTCAGTAGTAGACGCGGTTTCGTGCCGAAAACGTTGTACAATAAGTCAGACGATGTTTCGAATGATAGTGGCGGTAGTGTCGATGAGTTACGACGCGATTCCCCGATCAAATCGTCTCCTAGTCAGGAAAGCCTTAGGCCTCCGTCAGCCTCATCGGCTTCGCCGAGATCTCCTTCTAGTAGTAAGAGTCCAGTGGAGGATAAGGAAAGGAACAGGGACAGTTTTTCGGGAAGCTTGTCGTCCATTAGTCCACCAAGCAGTCCCAGCAGAGTCAAGACTGAAAGTGAAAAACAAGAGAAGGAAGGAAGCGAGAAAGAGATAAATGGTAAGTCCAAACTACACCTATGCATTATGTATCCTATTTTAATTAATTTATTGATCACATTGGAAATTAAAAGACAATAAGTGTGAATAATTTCGGTCATCTCATTGCAATTCTGATAAATCTACTGATTTGTTTTGTACTAAAGTTATTGTGGTGGGGTGAGTCAAATATGACTTCAACGAGTTTTATTTTATTTTTGATCAAACGATCGGTATCGATTTTGGACCAGTTACCAGTTGAGTTAGACTAGCGCATTGTTCTTTAAATTTATTGAACAACCTAATTGACTTTTAATATTGGATTTTTGGATCACATTGGAAATTAAAAGAGAAGTGTAAATATTTTTGGTTATCCCAATGCAGTTCTGATAAATCTACTGAAGGCTATTGTGGTGGGGGGAGTCCAATATGACTTTAATGACTTTTATTTTATTTTTGATCAAGTCTTGCAAACGTCGTCTTTTTCTGTATCGATTTTGGACCAGTTACCAGTTGAGTTAGACTAGCGCATTGTTGTTTAAATTTACTGAAAACCATTATATAGACCAAACAGCATCCACCGTACCTGCCAGACCAGGTTCCTATTTAATATGTAACAAACTATTTTACTTACTAATTATGTCTTAACAGCGATTCTTTCTACATCAGGAGTATCTAGTTGTTAAATTCTTCATTCATCAATTCTGCATTATTGCAGTAACATTTTTGAATACCTCTTTTTTTTTACAATCGATTAACTTTACAAACCGCGAACATAATTTCTTTTTGTTTTTACTTAAGTAGTGTTAAGTGATTAAACAGTTATTCAAGTTGATAGCTTTCACTTATAGTTATTGCAATTATCACTATTGCCAATACTTCAGCACTTTAATTACCTTCGACACACACGCCTCTGTAAGATAAGATTTACTTAAATGAAACGTACTACCAACGTAGGTACATAAAATGCGTGAGTACTGTTAACACATTACTTACCATCTTGGTTGCACAAAAATAAGGATACACTGCGTTACCCGTGCAATATTTATTGGTTGGTAGGAAGTATCACTTTTTTGCAAGGTAACGTAAACGTAAGTCTTATTTTTTGACAAGAAAATTAATTTATAAATGGACTACGAAAAACACAAAAAATAACGACTTTGTTAAGAAAATTGGATCTCTTTTTGAGTTAATTGAATGTCAGTGCCATGAAAGTAATTATTGTCGTTAATTAATTTAACCAGTACATGTACATACATATAGAAGTTTATCTTTATATATATACTCGCATGTCCGATGCATTCACCAAAATTATATTCGTAACTCAACTATTTACTTCATTTTCAGTAATTTTTGTTATCCATTTTAATTTCAATTAAATACAGATCTTATCCATTATTGATTTTCCCGAATTTGGATACTTGCAGTGTTTCAAAAAAAATTTACTTTTGCGTAAATTTTCACGGTCATGGTTCATAATATTCTTCTCGACGTTTGGGTTTCTCACTGCGCATGGAAACTATGACCCACAAGAATAATATGTGTAGATTTATTACAGTCGTGGCTACTAGAATGCTTTATTAGAATTGATTGTTGAACTGGCTGGCGAAATCCCAAATGGTTTTTTAAAGTGGAAACGTCTACTGGAAAACCTCAACCCTTAGCAATCTTCAATATGACTTTTTCAGCTCCAGTTGAGAGTTGTTTCTCTTTTGTACCTTTTAAATTAAGGAATAGATTGGGAATTGAATCGGAAAGCTTCAAAATTGGTATTCTTGTTGATACATTTGAATGAAAATAATTAAATTCTTTCGCTTTATTTGTTATTAATGATTTTTTTTTCGAAGAAAATGATTTAAATCTGCTCAACCCTCAATAAATTTAACCAAAAATTAAAACACTTCATGTGATAATGATGACCTTTTGGATTAAGAACTCGCTATGACCTTCTTATGAAGAAGTTTGTAAAATATGTAGTTTTAATCATTTATTAACAGTTTGATGTTATTCGGTTCAGTTTGGAGTTTTAACTAATTGTAACATTAGTTATCTAGCTCTATAACATTAAAGCCATTATCACAATGGATCCTAGAAATTATAGGAATCTGATAAAGATATTTATTTTGCAAGAACAGGATTCTAGTGAACAAGAAGGAAGTATCGAAAAAAATCATATGCATAACTGAAAATAACAGTAAATAAAAATGATTTGCGTTCATCGCGATGATTATTTATATAAGATTTTCCGTTTAATTGGTTCATCATTTATGCAAAATGCGCTCTCTCGTTTTTTTTTTTTTGAAGCTTCTTTTTCTCTGTTTTTATATACCACGTATGTAGGCGATGAGTATGAATGTAGGTTATTGTTGCCTGCAAAACCGTAACAATCGTCAAGATTAATGATGCTACGGCTACTTTAACAACGTTTTCGCCATGTCGGACTCACAATCAGTTAAACCTTTCATTTGGTCACTGGGTTTTGCTGTATTAAAAATAGATAACAAATATGCTAATTAATTATTGAGCATAGAAAATAGAAATGAAAAATGAGAAAGATACGTCATTGTTACTTGTCTCAATACTCAACTGTGCTTTGTCTTTTTCCCAATTAACCTTCTTTTGTTTTTCGTTGCTCCATTTGTTAAATAACTCTAGAGAATATCTATGAATTATGCATGTGAAATATGATTATCTCGGGCCCTGGTACACGCTATTTGATGCAGTACTTCAAAAACAAAACACTTATTCATTGTCATTGTGAGGTAGCGCCCTTATGTACCTTAAAAATTCAGCTTTTTAATTACACCATGTAAATCATGGACACTACAACATATTTACAAATACATACATGTATATATACAAACAAAGTGACAGTGTCTAAGGGGGACAGAGTTCTGGGTTTTGATGGGGGCAAAAGGTGACTAAGAACAAGTGAGGGTTTGTTTTTGATAGGTGAAACCAGAAGTCAATATCAAATGGAAAAAATATCACAAAAATATAAACAAAAATTTAATATGATTATACCAGGATTTCACAAAAAAATCTATAAAGTGGTAAAGTTGGTTCTTTTGTTAAGGATAATCTGTAATCCTTTAGGTCCTACAACTCTGATTCTCATTGATTTGATTTATTTTATCATAGAATTATTGCCTCAAAAGATGCACTAAAAGAAACGAATTTCAATAGTGAAAAATAGTTTTTAAATGCTTTAATACAAGCAATTTCTGTTCTTCAAAATCTCATTTTTAAGGACAACTCATAACAGTCATAATAACTACATGTACTTAGATAAATTAATTAACTTAAGTTATAATAAAGCTTTCAACCAATTTATCTGAACTATTAAATAAGTCTTAATATCTTAAAGCCTCCTGGAATAGGGTTAGACTACCTACAACGCTGAATATGAAATCAACACTTTTCACAAAGTACGTATGTGTATCAAAGAAGTAGTTGTAGTAAAAATAGTTTTCCCACACATGCTGCTTTGAGTTTTCTTTCTTACAGACACGTAGGTACAACATACTTCATGGTGAGTGGCCTGCATTGTCATTTTTTCTTAATATCGTTGCCAGTTAATGTGTTCTTAAGTGCATAATAGACGCATGCCTTTTATGGAACGTTGACATTAAATGGTTAGTACTAGCCAGTTGAATATTCTTCTTCGTTTAATCCCATTTAATAATAATGTACTACAAACACAATGAAATACAGTAGAACTCGTTTATAACGTTATTCTTGGAATCGGAATTTTTTGACGTAATAACCGAGTGTCGCTAATAACGGAAGTTTACACAAGAAAAATTGAACAATTTGGGAATCATTAAGCGTTAGCCATGCTGGCCATATGGTAATGGCAAAGGCAATAATACGACAGTAAAACAATAAAAGTATGATATTATATCCGAGTTTGCTGTCGCTATTAACGACATTTCTAGCATCGGTTTGAACAGCAAACTTGCAGACTAATAAAAACAGACGTTACATCAGAGTTGTCGTTACAACCGAATCCACTACAATTATAATCGGCGCTTTGAAGGAGTCAATAAATAACTGAAATTTAAATGATTGTTGTTATTGATCTATTATTGTCGAATGTATGCCTTTTGTTATTTTCGTTTTGTTTCACGAAGGGGGTCAGTTCTGAAATATTATTAACATCCGGCAGCTGACACATACTTTTGACCGGCCGAAGGCCAAGGCGCGGACCATATCGTTTTCTCTCTCTATCGTTTACCTTATTATTTACCATCTCCGTCAAAGGCAACAGCCAGTGTTTTTATTGCTCTCAAACCGCAACTTCCGGACGCCAATGGCCGCACGGAGGCGCTAACAAACGACGATCAGGACGACGTCGTCTAATTTTTTAATGAAATGACCCGAGCACGAATGATAATGTTGGCAGAAAGTCTGCGGTTTGTGGTGGACGGTGTAAGGAATAGAATAAGCAGCATCCAAGTTTTCAGCTTCGATGTATCTATTTACAGCGTGTCCAAGAAGTGTGCAAATAATTAATATTGACACATTTTTAGTGCTTTTTTGACTTTTAATAGCGAGAGGGTCCGTATATTACTCAGTAATAATGAAAGAAGAAAGGAGGTCTAAGGTCGTTTTAGCCCAATTGATTCATAATGAAACGCTTGACAATAGAATATGTAGTTCTAGTATCCGGTAGTGTATACATGTATTTGTATCGATGATCTGGTAGTTTCAAAAGACTTCATCGGGACATTTTTTTGTAATATGCAATATTAATGTGAAAATTTAGGGAGTTTGTAGTGGATGGAAAATCGAAAATGAAATTTCATCGGGATTGTCAGATGGATATTGGTTAGGAAAATCCAGTTCATCAATTTGTACTTTCTTATAGTGCTGAAATTGGAATCTTCCTTTACAAGATGGTGTTAAAGTTTTATAAATGAAAGTAACTTTTAAGGATGTTAAGAATACCGTGGATGGAGAAATGATGATGAGGTATTAGAAAGTATTTCCAGACATCAAGGGCTAGTGAGAGGCATATTAAAAGAAGAAATAGGAACTAACAGGGGCAGAGGTAGACCTAGATTGAATTACTATTGGCCAATAAGTAGTTATGGATATAAGTTGCTCTAATAGTTTTCCAGAAATTCAAAGATTCGTTCAGGATATGCTGCAGTGGAAGTGTGTCCAACCAATCTTTAGTTATGATGATTTCTTGTTAAACTTCATCGAAGAAACCGCAATCGTTTATTCAATTCTGATACTGAGTAACTCCATACAAAATTTTTAAATTATTTTTTTGACATCCTCAACCTGTGTGACTTACTAACTCCTATTAATTCTACTCGGAACATTCAGCTTAGTTAACAAAATATGTGTTTTGATTCTTCTTCTTCAATCTTTCGAAACAGATAGACAAGCAAACTTGAAAATAAAGAGGTTAATTATGAATACACTGGCTGGCGTAGAGTTGAAGGCACAAGAATTGAAATAGTGTGCATGGTTTGAACTCGTGGAGCTATTTGAGGCGAATGAAGACATTTGGAAGGTCTTCAACATGCCATTTATCTGTGACATTGACTTCTCTTCTCAAATCTCTTCGATCACCACAGAATGCTGCTTTTTTTATTGCTTCCATAAATATTCTGAGAAGTTGAACAAGACTACAGCCATCGATTATCAAAAATTGAATGACAACATATTGCTTTAGTGTCCTCAAATCCATAAGGCGAGTATGCGATAAGAAAAATTTCAGACGACTCCAGGAAAGCTCAGCATCATCGCGTCGAAAGCATCTTTCACGGGGTCGATTCAAGCAACGTCTTCCTGAATAGTGGCGACTTGGACCTTTTCGTTATTGTTTTTGTTTCGGATTTGGGACACGTTGTACTCAATTATAACCATGTGTGTCTATAACTACATATGTGCCAGTATGTGTAGGCCTGCGGTACTTTTATTTATAGATCAGTCATCGGTGTGTTGGGTAAGGAGAGTACAGACTTCTCCTCTCTCATCGTCGTCGGTTCGTGTGTGTACGTGCATTTAAGTGGTTCCTGTCCCTGTGTCACCACGCATACACATACACATACACATATCGCGAAAACTTGGTACTCCAAGTACGTTGTGATACCTGTATGTCCTGAAATATTCGCGTTGCAAAATTATTACTCGTTCTCTTGTTGTCTTGACTGTTTAAGTCGGAGACGACAGTCGTCTGTCTCTTTACGCACCTATTATTACGAGACGAGTACGACCAGCTTGCTACGAACCTTTTGTTTTTGTTTGTTGCAAGTGCACGTGATTGCTGGTCCATTCAACATCCAGCGCAAATACATCGAGTTGATATCGCGGACCGACTTTGTTAACTTTATTATTATTGCGGCGCCCGAATGCCTGCTACAGCACGACGCGACGCGTATGTACACTGATTTTTCCGCAAAAGAAAATTTCCGATAGTGAACTGGGTGCGTGTTGTGAAAACGACCGTCGTGGTCCAAATTAAATCACTAAAAATATCATCTTCCTTGCGCTGGGCACAGATTATTTGATTTTACGGTCAGAAAAAGTCGCACCAAACTGTTGAAGACTGACGAAAACCTTTGTAGGAAACGAATGAGTCTGTTTTAACGTGAACTTATATTTTGTTTATAATTTTGTGTCACTCTTTGTTGTTAGCGTCCATATTGATTGTCAAATGCGATTCGAAGACGATTCGTTCATGTTTGTGTCGTTTATTTAGCGGGTGATGTCGTTGCCCTTTATTAATTAATTTTATTATGAAGGAGAATGAATGAGCTGCCCCAACTTTTATTAACTGAAGTAATATTATCGCAAAATGCGTTTTCTTTTTCGCCTAATGACATAAAGATTGTATGTTATTAATAAAAGCGTTGTAATGGTGAGGTATTTGAATAAAATGTGTTTGAAGTTGAAATTTTTCTGCGTCAATTGTTCAGGTTAGTTAATCTCTGAATTTAGCTGTTACTTAACACAATATCCCTCTATATTAACCTATAAAAGTTGAAAGATGTAAATGACTGATAACAAGGACGTCTCTTTCTCCTAATAAACTTATTTATGTACCTTAATTGAAGAAGACTCACCCCTAAATACCACAAAAATTATAATTCCTCTTAACGTGATAGTATATCCTGATTTGCACGATGAAGCACTTTCAAAAATAAAATTTGATTACTTTGCGAGCTGTTTATTCATATTTTTCCGTGTTCCAACGTGTTTCTTTTGCTTCCAGATTCTTCCGAATCATCAAAATCGAAAAACGAAAAGATTGAAGATGTAGCTGTGACTAGGCGCAATAAAGTTTCTAGTATTTCCTTAAATATTCCAGCTGCTGGTCTGGGTAACAGGCCACCCTCTATGGTGAGCACATCGACGGCAGATGAGGGTGGTTTTAATGAACCCTATCCTGAAATCAAAGCCAAACTTAAGCCGCATGAAGATTCGGTACCGCCTCTATTAACCGAAGATGCTGGTGGTACTGAATCACCTGAATCCAAACACGTTCCTATCAATAACAATTTGGAAACATTCGATCTTATCAAATCCACTGAGCGATCTAGGTCACAGTCCACCGAAGAATCGCCAACTCCTGATCCTATATACGCAGTTCCTCATAAAGTTCATTCACATCAAAGGTCGACTTCTGTCGTGTCTCATGAATCTTTACCACAGGTATCGGTTTCTCCACAACGAGATTCCGATTCCTCGTTTCAGAAGTCTACGTCGGAAGATTCACAGGTTACTGTCGTTCCCCAAACATCCTGCGAAGCAAGGCAAAGCAGTTTCGTTCAACAGAAGTCGACCTCCACCGATTCTGAAGGATCTCAGGTGACTTGCGTCCAACAAACGATCACCAACAGTTCTTTAACCCAGTCCAAGTCGACGGATCTTCTTTCGGAATTGGATTGCAGCACTCCGGAAACTACGATAGTTCAGCAGAAATCGATAGATTCGGACATCATGTACAATAATCCTCCCAATTACATAACAAACTCCGTTCTGGCACAGTTGGAGAGTCAGGACAGTTTTGAGGAGTCTTGTAAAAAATTCATTGATCAAGAGAAACTTCACGAGGAAGAATCAAGGAGGAGAAGCACAAGTAATAGCGAAAGGGAAGAAGTAAACGATATTAAGTCTAGTCAGTGTGTTTTAAGTGATATTGTTACGGAAAAGGACGAATCAGTTAAAAATAATGGTGCTAATCTGCCGGTAGATGTAGTTTGTGACGTGGACGTGAATGGTGCGAACACAGACGTGAATTCGAGTGAAAAGTTTTGCGAAACAGTAGAAGAAGATGTTGCGGATAGCATGACTCCAGCTGAAGCCGAAAACTTGTTAAGTACAAAGTGAGTACAGATTTTGGATTATTATTTTCTTTTAAATATTCGCAATTCTCAATCCAATTTTTCTGAACATGAGAAAAGTCAATTCGAAAATAGTACCTATACCTGTTACGTATCAAAGGAAGATAATTCTCACCCGGGATAGGGTGCCGTGCATTCTTCCCAATATGATTTTTATTACCATAATACCTACATTTTAAGCGTTCAAATTACTACGTGAATGATCGCAATCCTTATCTAGTAAGCACTAAATGTCATTTCGCGAGTGTTGGAGGGAATGTTGCGCTTTCATCCCTGTGAAATCATGGAAAAATTTTGTAGAAGATACTTAACAAGTTTTTTTTGAAAGAAATATTACTGTTAGAAATAATATCCCTAAGAAGGTACTTTGTTAATTTGGCCGAAAACGTTTAAAGTTAAAATAAGAATATAGTGAACCTCGTTTATAAGAACTACGTTTATAACGTCGGTTCGTATATAACGACTAAATTTTATGTTTATGCATTGATTTATTATGACGTTTACTCTGATAACAACCATTTTATTTAATGTCATCTCTTATAACAATAAAGGATACGGTTTTAGCAATGTATATTGTATTTTAAATCCGGATATACAATGGGGTGGTAATCAAAGCAGACTTGAGGTCTAATAATTTACATATACGGTATAGGTACTACGTAAAATAAACTGATCTATTGATTAATTAAAGATTATAGTCTAAAGTTATCATCTGAAAAAATATGAATACAAAATAGCTACATACAGCAATTGCTTATAGCGTTTACAGACTATAGCGAGCGACCGTGGGGTTATAACTGGATTTACTGTAATTTGTTACTGAGAATTCGATTTGTCATTTTTTTGTTTGTAGGATTTTAGGAAAACGTTAAAAAGAATTGGCTTTAAAAAGAACAAGAAAGTAGCTATATTTGGTTCGATATTTTTTAATTTTTTTTGTCCAGAATAATCATTTTTTTTTAAGTACATAAAAGAGAAATTCAAATGACGTTGTCCGTGCCAAAATTTTAATGTTGTTGCCAAAATTCTGTAGATTTTACATAATTCCTTCCCAGCTGATTAATATTTATCTGAAGTTGTTATTTTGTCTGCGAAAGCTTTGTATATTTATCAAAAAAATTTATTTATAATTAGAGCATCGACCTTTCACTGTTCTGACAGTAGGAAACACAACAAAATATTGACTTTTTAGTACGTCTCAACTTCACGAATTACTTATAATACAACTTTTCAATAAGTTTTACGTAATTGATTAAGATATTTATTGATAGCAAATGCACCTTAATCTTCCATTTGTTTGCGAATTTCACTATATCAGAAAGTTGTTTTTTATTTTGTTATTAACGCTTCCGTTTAATGAATTGTAAATTAATTGTGTTGTCTTTGCAAAGCCCTAATAAGAATAATTCTTTTCGTAATGTTTTGAATTTTTGAAGAAATCATAGTGTTTGAAGATATGTATTTTTTATGTTTTTATCAATGTTGCGCCAATATCTGGATCATGTAATGAGTCTCCTGTTAGTCTAATTTGAAAGTAATTTGTAGACTACCTGTTGTTGGTATCTGTCAGACGTTACTAATTGCCTTTTTAACTTTTTTCGGTCTTCCTTAATTAGAAATTGATTTTTAACATTATACAATAAAGTCCCTTTTTCATTTTACTCAACAAACGCGTCAAAAAGACGAATTACCTATGGGCTTTTTTCTAATTAATCAATGACATGTTGACTTAAATGAAATTACAATTAATAAAATAATTTGAATGAAAATGCATTGTTCAAAAACATGGTCCCTTTTCTGTTTGTAAATTTCAGCAGTACTTAATAATTTGATGTACCTATTTATAGTCTTTGCAATTCAGGTTTATCTATTTTGTGATGTAACCTGGGGCTTTTGTAAAAATCTGTAAAATAATACATGTATTTGCTATAATATGCTATAAGCAAAATAGCTTTCACCTCTCTTCAAGTATGTATCTAAAATGTTTTTCTTTTTTTTTTTGATAAAGTAGCACATATTATAGAGTTAGGTACTATTGGAACAAGCAATTTTTAGAGCATGTTATTTATTGTGTAACAAGATGCACTTTTAGTTATAACAGGTTGCATTTTTCTATTCTTTATTCATAGTCTTCTTTCACGTTTATTTTATTGTTCATTCACATGAATTTCAACTTTGTAATTATGAAATTTTTTCTTCTGCATGTGTCTGGCTTTCCTCCCAACAGAATTTTGGAAAAACGAATCAGGTATGTAACGTTCTGTGCATTTTTAGTTTTGCCTTTTTTTTGAGCACCCATTTAGTCTTGTTTTAACATGTTTTCTTTATTTTCTATTTTCTTTTCATCGCATTTAATTAATGAGTTTTTAATTATAAATTGTGTTTAGTGCTACAATAAAATTTATGTACATGAATGTATATATAGATTGAAATTTTGATTTAATTTTGATAAGATTTTTAAAACAATTTGTCATATACATACATACATAGGTGTTATTCTTATTTTGAGAATTAGTCAAAACACTACTTTTGTAATGCTGTTGCACTTACCTTTTATATTTACATATAGGTGTATCCCTATATAATTATGGACAATAGTAAATGCTTTGCAAATGGATGTAGATATATATTTCAGTAAATGCCTGTTGTAGTGATTTTTCGCATGTTAATTTTGCGTTTGTCAACCCTTAACGTTCATATTCTATTAGGTGTACTACATTATATCATTGAAACTTCCCAAAACTTTTATACGTGTATTTATCAATATCGTGTATTGATAACATGAATTAAATTTAAAGTAAACGACGAGCAATTTTTATTATAATTTTTCTTGCACCTAGACAAGAAATTTTATCAGATGAAGAAGCTCAAGAAATCACGCGATTATTGGGTCCAACCGATCTCAAACCCGGTAGTTGGCATCCAGATACCTCCTCTAATAGCTTCCTGCAGGACTCGATGTCAGGTCCTAATTCCCTGTTACAAAATTCGACGGGTCCCCAGTCACTCAATGATAGTTTGGGACCGCCGTCTCTTCAAGAGGATTCACTTACAGAATCGGCTGATCGGACCTCCGAATCCATGGAGCAGACTTGCATGAAAGAATCTGTAACTAGTTCCATTATGCAGGAATCCATGTCCAGCATAGACGCATCCAGTCACGAAGTCGATGCTATGTGGAACTCCAAGATAGAATCTAGCATGTCCGTTTCTGATTCTGGATTAATAGGTAAGTAAGTTATAAGAAGAGTTTTAGTTTATAGTAGAACTTCAGTCGTTTTTAGAAATGTCCCGTAGTGTGCAAAATTTGTTATGGATCGACATTTTTTTGTTATCTAATTTAATAAACGAAACAGATAAAGAAATAGCTTCAATGAAAATATTATTGACTATTCAGCAAATGTAAATAAACAAGTAATGCCGAGCATATTATGTAATAGGTGACATAACAAATTAATTATTTATTGCATGTATAACAACTAAATTGTAATTCTAATAATTCTGTAGTACTGAACTTTAGTTTCAAGCAAAAATCAAAAGTTATCAGCACGGGTTCAAATGATGTTTAGTGTTATTTCAAACGATTTCTATAAATTGTTAGTTACTGAAAGGAGTTTCTCCAACTTCTTCGTCTAGATTCTGCTACAAGTTTATCAGACGCTAACATTCTGGATACTAACGAGTACCATACAAAAGAGTTTGTCCCAGAACACGTAAAAATAATTGGTGTAGAACAAGGAGTCCATTATTATGAAGACGGTCATTTTTTCATGGAAATTCCCGGGTTACCCCAAGAGGACGAGGAAGACGATTTAGAGTACCCCATGTATGTCAAGAAGCCTTCGAAGGTCTCCTTCTCTGTAGGTCCTATCACCGTCTATTCTACATTCAGTATAACTGACTACGACAGACGGTAATTTTTTTTTTTAATAAAGAAGAAATTAAAGGTAAAGCATTAATGGATTTGTTTTCTTTTTGATTTAGAAACGAAGATGTTGATCCCGTTGCAGCATCAGCTGAATATGAATTGGAAAAAAGGGTGGAAAAGATGGACGTATTTCCCGTTGAACTTGTAAAAGGTCCGGAAGGTCTTGGACTTAGTATCATTGGAATGGGAGTTGGAGCTGACGCAGGCTTAGAAAAATTGGGTTAGTTACAATTTGACCTTCACTTTATTAAGCATGTATATTTTAATTTGGTCGAATATAATTTTCAGGTATTTTCGTGAAAACCATAACGTCAAATGGAGCTGCTGCAAAAGATGGTCGTATACAAGTTAATGATCAAATTATCGAAGTCGATGGCAAAAGTTTGGTTGGCGTTACGCAGGCTTATGCAGCCAGTGTGTTGAGGAACACATCGGGTCTTGTAAAATTTCTGATTGGTCGCGAAAAGGATCCCGAAAATAGCGAAGTTGCACAGCTAATCCGTCAATCCTTGCAAGCTGATAAGGAGAGAGAAGAGAGAAGACAGAGACAATTAGAAGCAGAACATCACAGTGATGCCAGTACAGTTCCAGTTACAGGTAAGCAGCAAATCAATTTTTTTTTTCTTTTTGAAATTAGTTGTAGATTAAAAGGTTTTGCAGGCTCTGCCAACAGTAGTTTCTCAGACGGCCCTCCAAGTCCTTCAGTTCACAACGAAAGTTTATTTGAACAAGAATATAATGACATGAACGACGTGGAAACGTTGAGACTGCTCCTTCAAGAGGTAAGTGTTCTGATGAGCAGTTTGTGTGTGGTTTTCGATGTTAAACGTCTAATTTTCTAAAAAAATACATATATATTTACTATCTAGCTTTACTTCGTGCTTATCGCTCAAATGTGGGTGTGATCATTACATTTATATGTGAACGTCGAAACTGGCTTATAAAAGCAGCGTAATGAAACCTAATATCATTGGAAAGGTACTGTGCCTTATCTATGCACAATTTAAAAATTATTTATGTATGTTGCCGTTAAGGCAGGTAAAATCTATATAATTTATAATTAATGCCAGTAGAAAACACCTTAAGTTAGGTAAACTTTACAAAAAGTTCAACAGTGGAGTGGTATAATGTTTTTTCTTATTAGGCGAAATACATTGACCAGATATCAACCACATCTGACATTAGTAATAGTAAACCCCCTGCACTTCAAAATTATTTCTTTTATAAATTTCAATGACTTGCTACTATTCATTAAAAATAAATCTGAGTCATAGATAGCTGTAGTATAGGATATTATTAGATTTTGTTAAAATATCGGAATTTTCTTCTTGATTTTATACTTAAGTCATCTAAGACAGTGTTTGTGCTTACGCTGCAAATTTTGTTGAAACGTGTATTTTGACGTGGTGTGTGTAGAGTGTTTGGGATGCATCTTTGCCTTTGTTGCATTTTGCCTGCTAACACGGTCATGTTTTTTTTGTGTTTGTTATGCAGAACCAGCAAAAACTAAGCATCTCTGAGTTGGAAATTACACAGCTTAAGAATAAGGTAAGGGCAAGTGATATTTTAACAGCATGGTGTTTCTGTACGCATTGTAAAGAGAGGATAACATAACAGTAACGTAAAAAATAAAACAAAATTGGTTTAATATAACGATTCATTTTCCCTTTTTTTGTAAATTTGGGTAAATACACTTTGGATAATTATTTCTTAATTGAAGTATTTTGGAAAGCGCTTTTTATTTCAATCAAATAATAAAAAAGCAAAATTAAAACCAACTACTTTTGCTAAATATAAGAGCCTCAGATCCTTATGTGGATATTGGAAATTTTCAGTTAATGGAGCAAAACAGCGGCGATTCAGAAAATCTCGAAAAATTAAAGCAGACAAACCAAAAATTGCGCGATGCTGAAAGCAAACTGAACCAAACACGCAAAGAAATGCAAAATTACCAAAACATGCTCGAACAGTCCCAAACTCAATACACCACCCTGGAGAAAAAATACAACAAAGCCAAACGGCTTGTTCGAGAATTCCAACAGCGAGAGTTGGATATGATTCATCGCGAAGAATTTTATCAGCAACTTCTTCAAGAAAAAGATACCGAATATAACGCGTTGGTAAAAAATCTCAAGGATCGTATTATAGCCCTTGAACAAGACTTATTAGAAACACAGCGTAAAGCGGGACTTCCCATAGGTCTCCCTTACGACAGCATCAGTCTAAAGCAGTTGACTCCCCAAATGACTCGAAAACAACCCCCCAAACCTATCCTGACTGCCTTGGATACCGAATTTTCTGACACTGAAGTTTCAGACACGAGCCCTGAAGATGCGGACAAAACGGCAACAGTCGAACGGAAATTACCTATCAAAGAAGAACTAGACAAAGCAGTACCTCCCCATGAACTTCTAGACATTTCAGCCAGTAAAAGTAAAGCTGAGTTAGCCACTCGGGGGGCACTAGCTAACAGGCAACTTCCCACTGCTAAAAAGGGTTCATTAAGTAACAGCAGCTCTGATTACGGTCTAGACGACAGTTGCAACTCTGGTGACGAAATGTCCACGCACAGTCCGCACATGGACTTGAAAAGGTCCGATCCCAAAGATTATAGCTCAGAAAGCGGAAATTATAGTTCGGAATCGCGGGGAAGTACCGAAAGAAACAGTTTGCCTCTAGCACGACCCACTTCGTTAAACACTTACGACTCAAACACGTACACCGTGCACCAATCGTCCCATTCGCACACCCAATATTCCGCTCAAAGTTTGTATTACAACTCGCAGACAACGTACGGGTATTCGCAGGGTCCCGTTGCAGCACATCAAGTTAATAAGGAACCGATTGCGATTGCTCAGGCACCTGTCGTAGGAGCAAACGTTGTGTACGCTCGAGTCCAGAAGGGACATCAACATCAAAGTAGCCCGGATCCGTGGGCTACTGCAACAACCAATAAAGCAGCTAGTATTGGTCTGGGACCCCCTACCTCTTTGGCAGAGCAACTTAAGCAGGTATACTTATATGTATTCTGTCTTTATTTCATCCATCTCATGTTTCTCTCCCATTCCTAGAAGGCTAAAGAGCATTCTACTCTATTTCTAAATTTGCATTAGAGTGTATATAAGTGTGAGAGAATTTTAAACTAAAAAACTATAAAATAATTTGATTAAAGTTTATTATTAATATTAGTAGCAAAAATGTATTATGATATCAAAATTTTAATAATTATCATTCACTTTCTTTTATCAGAATATTAAATTACTTTTTTTTTTAGGTACTAGCTGAAAGGGAAAAGCGTATCGATTCGGGAAGCGTTACAAGTTCCACGGATGATCTCACTGAGAAAAGTAAAAGTACTGCTCAGCACTTACTTGAAGAAATAAGACAGGCTGTGAATGAAGCCAATGCAAGAGGTACGTATCTTACAGTTACATAAATTAATGAGAGCATGAAAAGGCACATCGCCAAAATAATTAGAATAGAGAAGCACCAATTTAAAATACAATTAATTTTTAAATTAAGTGCTTATCATTAAAAATCAAATGTGAATGGTCCAACGTAATATTTTTCTTTCGGTTAAGATTAATTCTTTAACCAGTTTCAATTACTTTTACCGTTTGGTAAAAATGTGACTACAACATTCACAGTTGACAGTGTCTTTGTGTATTGTGTTTATTGACAGGCTGCAATTTAATGTTTGCAGTCAAAAAGGTTGTTCCTGTAACACTCTCACCCCCAGGCACAGTTCCGTGGCAGCAGCAGGGCGCCACCTCTCCAACGCCACCTTCACCCTCAAGCCTCTCGTCTGGTTCGGTGTCACCTTCTAGACACGACTCCACATGGACGCAACAGTCTGACCTCAGCTTGTCATGTTCTAGTATTAATAGCGATAAGAGGAGTTCGCACTTTTGGCAGTCCGCCCCCGTTACAGAGTGGAGCAAGGAACAGGTAATAATACCCCTTTATTATATTAGATTAGAAAATTCTATTTTGATTTTTTTGAAGACGTTTATATTTGAAGTTTTCTTTACTGTACTAGTTAACATTAAATCTTTTTAATTTTCAGGTGTGCCACTGGTTGCTAGCGATAGGTTTAGAGCAGCACATATCGAAGTTTATCGAGCTACAAGTAAATGGATCTGCGTTATTGCAACTGACGTCGACAGATTTTAAAATTTTGGGCATTTCGAGCGACGATAAGAGTCGTTTGAAACGTAAGATTAAGGAATTGAAACTTCAGGTCGAAAAAGAACGGAAACAAATGGAGAAAGACCGAAAAGAGAAGGAAAAGATGCAAAGAAAGGCCGACAAGATGGCCGAAAAAGCCAACAAAAAAAAGTAGTCTTTCTCGTTAGCAGGCACAGTTTATCTCAATAAACAAGTAACAATTTCTAAAGCCAAATAGTAAATTTGCAAGTAACGTAAGTTTAATATTTATTATTATTAATTAATTATTAATAATATTTCCGATGTGCGTTTGATTATTCTCCTGCCATATTCGGTATATAAGTAATTATTTTTTTTCCTAATTTATTATTATATTACGGTGTAAAAAATTGTATTTACGTGATGTTAGATTAGACTGAATTTTTTAATTCGTGTGTTTCGTAATGTAAAGTACAGTTTGTTATCGTTTAGGTAGTAGTTTCACGGTGTTTAAAAGGAACACGGTTGTTACTTACAAAAAAGTCGGCCATATACTAGCAAGTAATAAGACCAAACATTTTATCAATTATCTTTAATTAATTTTGCCTTTGTTATCGCTTCTTTTCCCTCTTTCAAGCAGTTCTTCTTTTGGGAACCTTTTATTGTTTTTATTAATTCTCCTGAAAGATTTATCAGTCAGTATTTTAAAAGGATTATAGGAAGAACTTTTACTACGCACACTGGGCGATTTTTGTTGTTAATTTTTATTTAGCTGTACAGGGTGTTGTCTCCCAGGTCCCACGTATTTTATATAATATTGAAATAATAAAAAACCGTTGAAAGAATTTAAATATGGAAAATTCTCTTCAAATACCATTAACACTTAAATGACGACTAGGAGAACATAAGTTGCTTGCTTTTTCTTTGTATGAAAATGTTTTCTAATAGATCTTTTTATTTTTTTTCAAATTAGATTTTATGGAAAAATTACTTTAAAAAAAAAAACAGCTTACAGTTTAGCTAGTCTAGTCAGATTGAAAAGGTTGGTGGTTCCAGTTTTATCTTTCCTATTTTTGCCTAAACAGTATCTTTATTTGAGTTTAATAATTTATTAAAATGCAAAGAAAACTGAAGTTTTTCCAATGCCTTTTTCTGCAAAACTTTATCCCTTTATTTTACGATTCGAATGTTATCATCAACGAACGAACTGATTGTGATTTTTTGTAAGATAGCGTTCTGGATCATTTATTATAACATTTTCGCTTTGGTAGACTTTGTGACTGCAGAGTTTTCATAATTTGCAGTATTTTTATTGATAACAACGCGACTTGTCGTTTTTGAGTTAATTAATGTTCTTAAAGAACGCAGTACAAGGGCAGCTAATCAAACTAATAAAAGTTTGCGTTATATACATACACCTAACATATAGTAACATAGCATTATACTGATTGATTATATGCTGTATGTATGTGTGTACGTTTTTTAATTATTACGATTAATTTATTTCGGGACCAATTTTTAATTGAAACTGCGTGCGACTTTTTAAATCTCTTTTACGTATCTAATTATCTTCTTCTTTTTCTTCAGAAAACACGTTGCTCGATTTTTTGCGGTTTTAAAATTGATTTTTCTGTTTGGTTTTGAACGTTTGTACCTTATGTGATTTTTTATTTTTGTTTTTAATTTACATGTTTTAATAATAATAATAATAGTAATTCGATACACATTAATCGCAATGTATAATATCCAATAAATAATTTATTTGTAATTTTTAACTGTTTAAAAACGTTCAAACGAACCCCTAAATATAACGTAAAGGTAGGTATACTTTAGGCTTTATAGCAGATTAATTTTAAAATTGCCTTAATTAAATAAACTAGTTTTTATAATAATAGAAACGGAGAGTTTTGTATACAAAATAATCAAATTATTATTAAGATTGGTGCAGTCAGAACAGAAAAAAGAAAAATTTTATTTTTTAGTATAATAAGAATAATTTATTAAATAAATAACACAAGAGAAAGATAATAATTCTAACTATCAATCATACGTATATCTAAATCAGGTAGCAGCTCTTGTAACAGAATACAAGTCATTTCGAGTTCTTGACCTTTATACATAGAGTCGAGGTACAATATTTTTAGTGTTTTGATCTTATGCAATGCTCCTATTCCTCTATGTGTAATATTAGAACAATTACGTAAATCCAGATAGATTAAGGTTTCACTAAAAATATTGCTTATTGTGTCTAAACACCAGTCGTCTATATATTTGCAATTATTAAAGCTTAGCCATTCAACTTGACGCAAATTTCTAAAATTGACTAGGCCTTCATAGTGTAGATCAACTTCAGAGCAATCGATTCCTTGTAAAAATTTGCCCTCTGCATAAGTCCTAGGTAAGCTGTAGTTTCCATCTTCATCTGCTTTAATCCATTTATCATCTTGAAAAAATTTTACTGCACCTCCTCTAAAAACAATGAAGTGGGCTGCTGCCAGTTCACAGCCAAGAACTTCAACTCTCTCTGGAATATAGCCTTGCATTACAATTTGTTTTTCTTTCTGTTTCTTCATCCACCACTTTTTTATAGATGAGGGTGATAAATCAATTGGACTGGAGAGAAACTTGATCAATTCCGTATTACTCTTTTCTGAATAAAAGTTTCGAAAGACTGTGAAGTAGCCTCTAAATTCATCTTTCCATGGTTTACGCCATTGCAAATCTTCTTTAGTTACTTGGTTTGTTAAAGCTACTCTTCTTTTAGTTTCCTCACTGTTTAACGGAACGTTAGAACTTTCCTTTTCAGGTTTACTATCATTTCCTTTAGTACAATCAATCTTGAAACTACAGTGCCCAGTCAAACATGTTTGTTGTTCCCTTAGTTTATTCAGAATAAGACAATATCTTTTAGACAGCATTTTTAAATATTACAATAATACTTGGGGCACATTTATAGTTAGAATTAATAAAATTCGACCATTTATTAAATATGAGTTTAGTTTAATTCTAGGTTAAATATTTGAGGTTAGATAATCACCACTTAAAATAGTTTCAAAGTGTCTCACAGATACGTTATCATTTTCTGTTTTTACTTATAATAAAGTAGG